TTGCTAATTTTTTAAACTTGTTTGGAAAATTAGCAATTAGAATAATTTGATTAGAGAAAAAGACAAAACTTTTTTTTTTTCATTAAAATACTTTATTCTATAGTCTAATGAAGTGTAAATACTAACATAAAAATTATTTAAGGGTATTTTTGTGATTTACCAACCATGACTCTAAATCTGCCATTAACCACGATTGTCTTCTGCTAAATCCTAGCTTTCACTTGATCCGTTTTTTATTTGCTGAGGGGTGCATTGTTCAGTAGTAGTTGTGGCAACAAGAAATAAAGCAAATAAATTATTTTACGTCGCTTATCTAGAGGATTAGGAACATTGGGCAAGATGACGAATGGCGCAAGATGACGACCTACCATTATCTCTTAAACAAAACTAAGTATAACAGCTGACTTTAGCTGAATGGAAAGTATATTATATTTACTAGATTTATTAATGCTTTCTTTTTAAATATTACTTTTGTGACAAACTTTAAGTATTAAAAAGGTTTTTCTGACATTGAGAAAAAAATATTTATCATCGTTTGATTTGTTTCATCGCTACATCACCAGCTAAAGGTAAGCGAGAAATTTCCATTTAGTTTGTTTATTCTGGAAGCGAAACAAGAAGTATTAGGCTATAATAACTTGATTATATATAGTTCTGATTCATTTTAAAGATTATGTTAGCCTAGGGCAAGATGAACGGGGTAAGATGGCTCGTCCATCATCTATGTTAAACGGAAGTTTACTTGTACTGTTTGTCATTCTTGTATTGTTTAGTCATTATTTTATTACAAAATATTTTGTTTCGCAATAGTTTTATTTTGTTGCATTGGAGTGTGCTACAAACTAATTACTAGGTTGTTTTTTTTTTTTCCACAGTCCGATATAAATATATAATTTACTAGTTTTAAAAATTACGCCTTTATTTGTATTACTTTTTTTATAAACAAGAATTTGTAATGATGGGTTTTGAGGCATTGATAGCTTCATAGAGTTTTCTTTTAGTAAAGTCTTAAACTTTGTTAACTCAAATCGTCATCTTGCCTCGTTTGTAGGCGAGATGACGATTGATTGACACGGAATGATTTTTTATCACTTCTAAATCAAGTTTTAATTTATAGGACAGTTATTGACTAAGATATAGGCGTTTTCCGAAACGCTCGTCATCTTGCCCCGTATTCCACTACGTGACAACGGTACAAAGTACTGGTATTAGAACTGAGGACAACTTTTACTTTTTATATTCCATAAAAATAGAGGGAACATTATAAAAAGTTTTTTCACTTTCTTGTAACTTTTTTGCCAGTAGGCAACAATATTAAGTTTTAATACTTTTGTCTTCTGGCAAAAAAACAACTAAAAAGACGAAACTTTTTGACATTTTAATTCTTTTATATATATATGTATATATATATATATATATATATATATATATATATATATATATATATATATATATATATATATATATATATATATCTGTATTTTTTATTTTTATCTGCATGATGAAACAAATAAAAACGAATAAACGTATGAGGAAAAAAAAAGAGAAGTCAAACGAAGAAATATGAAATAAAAACGATGAAGCACTGCTCAAATAAGTCTAAGTACGTTCGTTTTATATAGAAATATAAATAAAAATAAAAAACTCAATAGCATTTTCAAAATTGTTCATACCTGCTGTTATGTTTAATAATTTAGATATTTAAATTATTAAATAAAATATAAAACTATTAAAATTTAAATGTTAATTCTTCTTATTAAAATGGACAATTTTAAATCATTTAAACATTTCTTAAATTGAATTCTACATTGACTTGACGAGAAAAATACTTAAAATAGTATAAATGATTGTATCAAAATATCACATCTATCAGAATAATTCATCATTTGTAGAAATCTTAATTCTCAAGATAACGTAAAAATCAAACAAGTATTTAAAACTAACTTTGATCTGCCCATTTTCAAATTTCTAAATATGTCTTTCTCCAAATGTTAAAATAAGTTTTACTTTGTTTACGAAAAACATTCTGCATTTCTTCTAATTCTTCTATGTTACGTGTTCATGCTTTTATTTTACATTTTATTTTTATGAATCATTATACTTTATTTATCGTTTAGACAACCCACGGAATATTTTTTCAAAAACCTTGTTTATACAAACTTTGACCCATTATTCATTGGATAAAAAGTTTTAAGTGGAAATATGTGCTTATGTGCTTTACTATATATATATATATATATATATATATATATATATATATATATATATATATATATATATATATATATATATATATATATATATATATATATATATATATATATATATATATATATATATATATATATATAGTAAATCTCTAAGAGGCAGACTATTCCTTGTGAGTTTTTCAGCATCCTTTTTATTATTATTATTGTCATTATCATCAACTTGACAGAAAAACAAACGAACATGTAATAATCGTAATTTTTGTATAATTTATTACTTAAATTAAATGGATTTTATTAAAATATAACACTTATTTTTTTTTTTTTTTTTTACAGTTTGTTTAGATGCTCCTAGAAGTTCTTACGGTCTTATCACGGAACTCCGCGCGTGAGGTTTAACTAGAAGTTCACGCCTCCTTCCTTAACAATGTCCCTTATTGGGCAAGAGCTGGCGTCGAATCTCGGACCTTTGGGTTCTGAGCTAAAACTCTAACTGATTATTTTTAAATGATCAGCAATGACGGATTCGGGGGGAAGGGGGTACGCATCCCCGCCACTTGAAACCTTTTTTTTTTAGGAGACGCAAATGTGGTACAGAATACAAAAAATCAACATCCTCTGCCCCCAGTAAAAAATTCCTGGATCCGTCACTGATGATCAAAGTATGCTAATTGCATACTCGATAAAAATGTCACTATAATTAACTTCTCCGCAACCTAGTCACTAAAATCTTTTTAACTTCTCCCCAGTGGCGTATTTAGAGGGAGCACAACGCTGCAAAACGGGGGGAGGGGCAACTGGAGCTCAGGGGGTCCCACGGAGATTTACAGATCTTACGCATTTTTTAATTTTTAATATGAGTGAAACCCATTAATCCAGCAGGCGTTTAGTCCTAAAAAGACATCTTTTGAACGTTCAAAAGAGTTTAGAAGGTCTTTAGAAGGTTCAAAAGACGTCTTCTTAGAACCCAATTCTGTTCGAAAAGATGTTCCTTTGAAAGATGGTCCTCAAGAATTAACTCTTTTTTAACTGTAAAGTTACACTTTTTAGATATAGTTAAAACCTTATAAGAAATTTTTTTATAAACTTAAACTATAAATTATAAATCAATAAAAAAAATTTAAAAAAATTAATTATTGAAAAATTGTTATTAATTAAAATTTAGATTTAAAATTAAGATTTAAATTTAAATTAATTAAAATTAATTATCAAAAAATTATAAAAAATTATTAAAAAAAAATTAATAAAAAAAAAATAAAACAAAATAAAATAAAGTTATAAACTATAAATTATAAAAAATAAAATTAGACTTAATAAGAACTTATAAGAAAAAAAAAGAAAGTTTGAAAATAGAAGAACAAATTAAAGCTCAATATGAAACTTTGAATTTATTTTTATTTACGTAAATATGTATTACATACACGCGATACAGATTACGTAATAATATGCATATTAATTACATAATAATATGCATATTACCAAGTGTAAATTATGCTAAAAAAAAGTCTTAAAGTTTATTTATTTATTTAAAACTTTATTTTTAGTTTACAATAGTTTTACAATCACCATAAACTAATTAATATCAACACACTAAACTGTAAACAACACACTAAACTGCAACTGTATATATTCATTCATTTAATTAAAAATAATTTAAATAGTAAATAATATAAATGTCAATAAATATAATAAATAATTGGTTATTTTTTGACATAAAAAATAAAAAAATAAAATAAAAAAGTAAAAAAAATAAAAAAAATTATTTTTTACAGATTTTACAAAAAGAAGATTTTCCATACCATTTTAGAGTACTTTTTTTGAACATTTTTAGACAATTTATTGAAATAGTTTTATTGTCTAAAGAGTTTCATAGCGAGGTTGCTCTATATAAGTTACTTTTTATGAACTTATGTTTAGAGACTATGTGTGGGAGTACTAATTTTTTACTAGAGCGAAGACTTAAAGTCAGGGATTTTTTGATAAAAAGATTCAACATAAATTCTGGATTTAAACCATTTATAGATTTAAAAACTTCAGTAAATAAAAACTTTAAATTTCTAAGGTGGATACTTGGGTTATTTTCTACTTTTTGAATTTCTTCTAATGGGAGATCAAATCTTTTATAGACAATGCGAAGTCCTTTTTGATGAATTTGATTAACTAGGTTATTATTATACTTCGAACAAAACATTCAAATCAAAGGACAATATGAAAAATTTGACAGTATGAAAGCATTGAATAAAAGAGTTGCTTCCCAGCAGGCACATTAACGTTGAAATAACGTTGAAACAACGTCGTAAACCGACCATATGTCACGTTGAAACAACGTTGAAATTTGGTTGAATTGGAAATGAAATCCGACGTCGAAAACTACGACGTTGAAACAACGTCGATGATTACGTTGTTTCAACGTTGATTTTTGTTTTTTATTTAAGTTAAATCCAATTAACTAAAAAATTATCTCAACTTTAATTGCAATAAATTAACACAATAAAAAAGCAACAATTTGCGCGAAGAATATTATATTTCACGTAAATTAATCAGATACAACTAAATTGCTTCAACGGACTTTATATTCAATGCAAATAAAATAAAATGTTTGAAAAAAAAAAGTTTTATTTATCAGTAATATATTTATCATTTTATCAATAATAACTATTATCAATAGTTCCAGAACAACTAGGAAAAAGTATGAATGTTATACATCGGGTGAATTGCCTTTTACGCGCCGACCACCACCATTTGATTTGTCGAGTGCGTATTTTAATAAAGTCATTATTCTTTTTCTTATTT